CAGAGGCTGGGGGAGCCCACCCAGCCCCGCGTCCTGTGCTCCCACCCTGCCCCACACGTATACAGGTATCAGGGGATCCCACACAGCTCTCACAGGGCACAGTGACCTTGCCACATCCCAGGGAGGTGGAGATCCCCCTCTGAGCTGGTTCTGTGTCCCCCATCCCATGATAACAGCCCGTCCCCTAGCCCTCCCTGATCGGGCACTCACGATGGATGATGATGCCCAGCAGGAGGGCGATTAGGAAGATGAGGACAGAGCTCATCAGAGCCACGCAGAACCAGATGAACTTGCAGTCGGGGTGGTACCGCCAGCCTGCCTGGTGCCAGAGCTGCCGGCCTGCAGGAGCGCAAGGAGAGCAGACAGAGCCAGAATGCTGCTTCCCATACCCCCACCCTGCCACCTCCCTGCATGGCTGGCTGAGCCCTGGCTGGGCACGTCCCGACCTCTTATCCCCAGGGTGCTAGTGTGTCCCCTAAATGCCCCCTAAACCCCAGAGCCCTGTGGGGAGCTTGCCCCACCACCCTGCTCCCAGACCTGTGGCTGCTCCTGGGGGCCCTGTGGACCGGGGCGTGTGTACAAACCCCCAGGCAGGTACCGAGGCCATCCCGGAGTGATGCGGGGCTGGTCCTGTCCTCCTTTGGCTGACACTCGGCGCTTGGCGCTGCCTGGGGCTCCTCACCCTCAAAGACGGGGTTGCAGAACTCGGTCTGCAGGAGAGCAAGCGTGGGTGTCACTGCGGGGAGCACACTGCGGGGACCCACAGATGGCCAGGCAGAGACCCTCCAGGCAGCACCCCGAACCCCAGCCCTACCTTGCTGTGGTCCAGAGTCTCGGGACAAAGCGTGATTTCAGTGAAGTCTTTCATGGCGGCGGGCAATTCCCAGCGCAGCTGACTTAAAAGCCCCCCCTGCATGATGTGGTGGCAGCACCGCCTGTGCCTACACGTGCCGTGCCAGCGCCGGACCCCACGGAGCCCCGCAAGCCATGCCCGCCGTGCCGTGAGTGCAGGGAGCCCTGGGAAGCCGGCAGCCCCAGTCCCCTCCGCAGGCCCCTTCCCCCTCGCCCTGTTAATCCAGCTCAGCTGAGGATGCCGAGGTCAGACTCTGGCACAGAGAACTGGCGCCTTAAAGGGGAAGGTGTGCTCGCACCCGCCCCACCAGGAGCAGGTCCCGTTGGATACCCTGCCTTCGGGGCCATGGAGGGGCCGTTGGTTGCCTCCTGCCTCCAGGCTCCCAGCCGGCACAGGGCAGCACCGAAGGGGCTGTGTCAGGGAGCACGGGCTGAGCATGTCCCTCCTTCCCTCGCGCCTCCCAGGCGCTGGGTGCCTGAGCCCCACCGCCTGCATTCCCGCTGCCCCTTAATGCCTTGGTGCCCGTCTCCATCCCTAAGCAGGGGAGAAAGGGGCCATTGTTCAGGGGCTTTGGAGGAAGAGTGCGGGCACTGGGAGGAGGAGGAGGAAAGGCTCCCTCTTCCCTGGGGCACCATGGGAGGAGAGGGACTGCTGTCTGCACCCATGTGTCCCTTGCTCCAGGCAAGCCCCCAGGCAAAGGGGCGCTTGGCCCTCTGCAGCCATACACGGGAAGGCTGCTCCAGCACCGGTGGTGATACAGTCCCACTTCATGCCTCGATTTCCCTCCCACTGCTGGAGCCACAGCCCTTCAGCTGCCCGCCCAAAGACAAGCATGTGCACACAGCGCTCTGTTCAAGCTAAAATTTATTCCCGCACGAGTCTCCCTGGTACGAGACACTTCTGGCCCATCTTGCTTACACAGTAAACAAGCCACCTGCCAAGCAGCAACGCTGCCCCAGTCCGGTACCTGCTGTGGGCAGCCCCTCCATCCTGGCCTGCCCTCCCCTGAGCCCAGCCAGGATGCCCTGGGCTGGGCAGGATGCTCATGGCGCGAGTGCTCAGCCTGTGCCCACAGGGCTGGCGAGGGCAAAGCAGGACGGGCTGCGGGGTTGGACACAGCTGCCTTGCGGGCTGGGGCTGGGATTGTGCTGGGTTGGGCCCATCTCTCCTCCCACTGCAGTTCAGGCAAGGCAGGATAGGTCGGAGAATAAATTATAGAAAAGGCTAAAAAGGCCACTGGCGTTTGCTAGCTGGAGGACAGAGCCGCAGGGGGGGTGGGGACGCGCATCCCCGGGCACCCAGGGGGGCTCCTGATCGCATGGAGAAGAAAGCCCCAATTGTAGATGGTCCTGGAAAGCCACTGTCCTCCCCTCCTTCTCCTCTGCAGGATGGACGTTCCTGTGCAACCCCAATGGCCTTCTGCTCCCCTAAATGGTTTAAGGCACCGTTGTATGAGGAGGCGGGTAGAAACCTACCTGAAGCATCCCCCAGCACAAGTCCCTGGAGAGCCAGGAAGCAGCGGAGTGCTCCAGGTTAAGCAAAGTCCACTATAAATACATATAAATTCCACAAAATCTTTTCCTTCTTCCTGTCCACGAGTCTCGGCCTGCACTCAGGCTGCTTTGAGGAGTGTGCATGGGGCAGCTGGTGGGGACGTGCTGCCTGAGATGGGACGGAGGCAACCAAAGGGCCAGCGTCCTTTGCCAGGAGGTTCAGAAGTGTCGGGAAGAGGTTGGGAGCAGTTCATTAATCCTCTGGGACGGCCAAGCAGAACAGGAGTGCCAAGAGGCCAGGAGGGATGTGGAAGGCTATTCTGGGTCCCCAGGTCTGGGTGCTCTCCCAGTGTAGCAGATGTGCTGGCCGAGTCAATGGGGCAGGCGGCCCCATGCCTGGAGAGTCCCTTGCTCAGTATTTTTATTACACACCAAAAGAAAAAAAAAAAAACCCAAACCTAAAACGTACCCCAAGGCAAAAAACAAATGCCAGCAACCAGGAGGCGCCTGAGCTGCCTGGGCCCTGCCCTGCCGTGGGCTGCCCTCCTCAGTTCGGAGCTGGGCTGTCCTTGCCTGGGGTCTGCTCCTGGCTGCCTCCAGCCTCCCGCTGCAGCCACCTCGGGGTCTCTCCTCTTCACCTCCCTCTTGC